CATGCTTGCTCATGCGTGCCCATAAAATACATTGGATATAAGAAGGAACTTCTTCACTAGTGCTTTTTTGGTGAATTCCTGAATTTGTGCAGGCTTTTGGAAGTTCATGTGTCCTAGTTTAGTCAGTGCAGTGACCTGAAAGCAAAACTAGGTTGATTACTTAATCTTTCATTTCCACTTTTTCATTTCCCTGTCTTTTACAAAGCCAGCGACTAGGGAAGGCCGTGTCCTCAAGGGTGTCTAACTTCCACATTTTTAAGAGCAAACTTTATTTTTAATATCCTTGCATCAACCTTCTGATGAGCTGTCTACCTACTAATGAGTTTTCACAATCTTTTGTGATTCTGTTAATAAAACTAATAGTTGCTTGCATATTATCTTTTTTAAAATATTCTTTGAAATTAATCAAAGAGACTCCCTTCTTCTCCCAGGCCTCCACTAAACATGTAGCGATGACAAGGAGCTATTTTCTCTTTCTCTGCAGTAGACTTGATGATACTTCCAATTCTTTTGCTGACCCTACAGGCAGAGGACTGAAGAGTTAGTTCCTCTTCTTGCCTAATAATGCCAATTTGCTTAAGCCGCTGCCAGCACTTTAACAGGTAGCCACCCACTTACAAACGGCTGTGTTTCAAGAATTCGTATTTAATCCGAGCTTTGGAATTTGGAATGTATTTCCCCTGAAAAACATTTACGAATGGTATTATAAATAGGTATGTTTTTAGGCTACCCTTTAATGACCTATTTAACCTATAATATCGCTGAATACGTGTATTGTGAAAAATATTAGGAAAATCACATTTTAGGTGCACCTTAGTTCTACTACATGTTTAATAGGGTTTGGGAGAGTAGTTTGGATCCCAAACACCTCTGTTTATGAGGAGAGGGTGAACAGCAGTGCCGTGAAGGCATCCCCATCGAGCCTGGGCAGAGAAAGCCATTGGGCTGGGTCTGCAGGGCGTCCCCTCCACCTCCTGCACGGCAGGACTGTCATCCGCATGCCAGACCATTCTTCAGTCACATGTTTGTGTACCAGGGGTGCCTACATGCTCTTACTGGCTACAAACATAGTCTTGAGGGAGAGTAAAAAGCTTACATGTATTGAAATTTCCTAAGCAGATGTTAATGTTGGAAATGCTTTTATGATGCATTTATACGTAACATAGTCACATACTTAGTTTTCTCCCCTTTGTATATATTTTTAAAAAATCTTTGTGTTTGGTTTTGTTCCTAAAATTATTGGTTCTTTTTAGTTTTCAATGAAAGGAATTTAATTCACTTAACTTAAAGGTACTGTAACATTAATAGTTAAAATAGATTTAACTATAGAATTGTTCTATTATTAATTCTTTACTAGGCATAATCTATTTCTATTTCAAGAGGTTTTCATTATCTTGGAGCTAATTTTTGACCATTTTTAACTCATGAATGTAGTATGATTTTTGGCAAAGTGATATTTTGCAGTTACTTACAGAATATACAAGAGCAAGTGCTTGGGATTGTGGGAAGTGTGGTTCTAATGCTCTTCAATTCTGCGTGCATTTTTCAGCTCTCTCAGCAGGTCTCCTTATCTGTAAAAGGAAGCTGATGAAACCTGCTTGCCTCACAGGGTTGCTAAAGGGATTGCATAAGATTGATGGGCATGAGTGCCAGCTCGCACTGCTGGAAGAATGGCCCGTCGGGGTCAAGTAGGGAAGTTCGGGCCATTGTGTTTCTCTTCCCTGAACTCTCTCTGTCTTTTCATAACCAAGCTTCTCAATAGAATAATCTACACTCATGAGCTTCACTTTTCATCTCTCACTTTGTCAGAAAGTCCCCCAATAGTATTTAGTTTGAGTATGTAGACTGATCATTGCTCGTTTGATGTTCGCTTTGTGCTGTTGTGTCCGTCAGTAATTTTTTCCCAAACACTTCAGCAGAACTGCAAAATTCCTCTCTCTGCAGTAAACACTTCAGGTTATCCATCAAATCCATTTGTACAACCTTTTCCTCTCTCCTGAGACACTCCCCTGGAGCCCTTTGTCCTCCTGTTCTAATCTGGCCTGGCCACGCTCTGGGCCCGGTGCTCAGCGTGTATCCTGTCTGCTCCTGTCCGCATCACCCTGGGAATTTCCTTTACTTCTCTTCTGTTTTGAATCACGTTTCCTGGTTCCTGTGTTTTCTTCTTTCTTGATTTATTCCCTTGTTTTGGTGTAGCACTTCCTCCACTGCCCCACTTTCTATGCCCCTTCCCCGTCCCACCCCCACCTCCCCAGCCTCCAGCACCTAATCCTTTTCAGGCAACTCCCTGTAACACCTCTGAAGCTTCTGCTCTCCATTCGGTCCCCCTGACGGATTGACCTCACCCTCCTTTGTGCCTGCACAGCGCCCTCTATCGAAGCTGGTCTAGCATACCTATGCAGCACCTGCTTTACATGCCAGGCATTATGTTCAACACTAGGGAGTCCAAGGTTAAGAGAATGAGCTTCTTGTTCCCAAGGAAGTTCTGAAACATAAGTAACACCTTGGTTCTCACTGGGGGCTGGGGGCAGTATTGCCCTCTAGTGGCCGTTTTGAAAAAGTGGGAGTTGAAAAGTTGGTTACCACAGTAAGCGGCGGGGGTGGAGGGGGTACACCCAGGACAGGAACACTGAATTTATTATATGTGCAGCACAACTTTAGAATGTTCCACCAGGCGTTCATGTGTGAAAATCTCTAATTGTTCAAGCCTGAGGCCTAATTCCTTTTACACACAAACCCATACTACCCCTGGCACTTTTTACATCGCCATTGCTTATGCAGTAGATGGAGAACAGCTATTGTTGTCCATCAGTGTGAGTTCATAGAGGGTTTTTTAAGTAGCATGTGTTTATAAAAAATGTAGGAGACCTTGGGTGATAGATTGTTTTGTAAATCATGCAATAACAAGGAAGAATGTGATTGCCTTGTTCTATAATAAAAGTAAGACAACTTTCTAGAGTAAATGTTTTAAAGCATTTCATTCTGTGTGTGCGTGTGTGCATTGGGGTATAACGCACAGTGCACAGCTCGACTTGTTCACCACACACACACACACAAACACGGGGAACTGCCACCTTGCTGTCCGGTGCCCAGTCTGCACAGTCGGGGAACGCGGGGTGAGCATATTTTTAAACAGTATGTTAGTTTGATTTTCAAGTAATGTGCCCATTGAATTTTCATGTGTATGCTAATTACAATTCTGAAAATATAGGGCAACTGTGGGCTTGGATAGGAGAAAATGGTTTTTTTTTTTTTCTAACCTCAAACTGAAAGTTAGCATTTCCTTCCATCGTGAATGATGCAGGAAACTGTGGCAGTGCTGCCAGTGGCACGACCTGTGGCTTTTTTTTGCTACTAGAAGCCGCAGATATTTTCAATTTCCCTTGTTCTAGATACCTCACAGTGTTGTTTGTGCTCGGTATTTTCATATTATGGTAAACAGTGGAACTGCCACTCGATGCTGTTATTTAAGTCATCAGTAAAGGAACATATATATCACCTGTACAATTTTTAAGTAACTTTTTAAAAATTTTATTTTAAAACATTCTGACATCCTAGAGTAAGCAAAACTAATAATGTGCAGTGATAGAAGTCATTCAAATCATTGTTTCTTAAGGACAAGAGTGACTGGGAGAGGGGAATGAGAGAACTTTCTGGAGTGATAGAAATGTCCATGTCCTGGTGTGTACTTGTCAAAGGTGACTAAATGTTAAGCTTAAGGTACACACTTCACTGTATGTAAATTATACCTCAATTAAAAAAACAAATACCTCATTAACAGTATTCTGAGAAGGGGTCCATAGGCTTCACCAAATTTCCAAAGGAGTTTCTGGTGACAAATAATTCAAACCCTTTTCTCAAGGCCGTTGTGTTACCTTTCTCTCCTTTGAGTGCCGTCTTCTTCTCAGGTGCTTTTTTTCTATTCATTTTCTTTTTTTCTAAAACTATTCTCACTCTTTTGAGCTAAAGAGAGCCCAAAAAGAAAAACAGCAGCTATGAAAACCATTCTTTTCTTGGCTTACTTGCCAGTCTTTTGAAGCTGACACAGCAGTAGTCCTAACGTAATTATGTACTTGCTCTTAGACTTTAAGTAATTCTAATGAATTAGAATTACTTTCCTAAAAACTAATTTGTAGACAGTTTCATAATGGTATGATTTTTCACATTTCCAATTTCTCCTGGAGTTTTAGTAGGATTTTTATCCCTTTATCATTGAATATACAGTTCTGTTATAAAGTAGCCATGAACATTTATAAGAGATTGGAAGAAAAGAAAATGTTTTTGGAATTAGAAAAGCATCAAGGAAGTAAGGGAAGAAAAATTAATACTACTGACAATGTATTCCAGAGATTTCATTTAGGTATTTTAAAAAATATTTTATTTATTTATTTTTTAGAGAGGGAGAGAAACAGCAATGTGTGAGAGCAACACTGATTGGTTGCCTCTTGCAGCCCAGGCACGTGCCCTGACTGGGAATCGAACCAGAGGTTCACAGGCAGATGCTGAATCCACTGAGCCACACCAGCCAGGGGTCATTTAGGTATTTTTGATGTAGTGTGATTACAAATTCTAAGCCCAACTATGTTTCATAAAATTCAGAATAGTACAACTATCAAACATCAGCCTATTTTTATTTTGAAGTGTGAGGATAGTGCTTGCAGTTGCTCAGCGTAGTGGCAGATGATACACAAAATGAGCGGGCTGCCTTCTGGGGGCGCGCGCTGTTTCGGCTGCTCGGTGCAGCGCCTGCTGTCTGTCGCTTAGGCATATGCATAACTCCTGATTTTCCTCTACTGTTTACTCTGTGTTTTTACAGTCTTTTCATATCCCCAGTGAAATTCGACAGGACACTTGTTTCAAGAGATGTCCAACTAGGCTAAGAAAGACTGAGCCGAGGCGGGCAGTCCTGACAGGCATTTAACTAGGATGCGTCTGCATGGCCTTTTTGACTTGTTATCAGATTGTGAAAAACCTAAACGCTGTTGGCGGTTTCTTTGCAGCCTCTCGTGTGGACAGTCTGAAATGCAGAGGAGAAACAGTGGCTAAGGAAATCAGTCAAGCCATGAAGGTAAAAGCTACGTGCTAAAACGTAAAATGGACAAAGTGTGTAGCTGGGTATTTAACAACCACATGTGTTTTAGTCTTTTGAATTAGGAATTCTTGGTAGTTTTAAAAGTAGATCTTTAATGAATTACATGAACCAATCTTTAATTAAGAGCAGTAACATTCAGAATAACTACCGTTTATTAGGTACCTACTATGTACCAGTATCGTGCCTGGCTTCTTTAAAGGTTGGTTATATTTTTGAGTTCTGAGAGTTAAACAACTCAGGTGCTAATACCAGCTAACAGTTGGTGAGCATTTAGTGTGGGCCAGGTACCTTCTGACTGCTTTACATGTATTAGCTCATTGAATCCTTCCAGTGACCTGTGAGATAGGTGATGCTGTTACCCTGTTTTCCAGACGAGGAAATGGGGGCACAGAGAGGCGAATTCGATTGCCCAGGGAAATAGCTAGGATTTAAACCCTGGTTCTTTGACGCCGGCGCCTGTACTCTTAGCCACTGTATTATACAGCATGTCAAATTGGAGTTGTATTATTACAAAATTGTTTGTATTTTTGGCATTATTTTATATAAATGGGAAAACATTTCTAGTATATGCAGATTACCTTTAATCTCCTTCATAATCTCCCCTGTTCTTAAAATTGTTATAATGTTCTTTTGTGGTTTGTATTGATGCCATGATTTTCTCATAGTGTATTCCTAACCAAGAGTTGACAGGCTAGGTTGGGCCAGGCTAAAATCCAGCCGAGTACTTCTTTTTTGGAAATAAAACTTTGTCGGAATACAGCCATGTCTATTCATTTACTTATTGTCTATTGTCTGTGACTTCTTTACATTACAGTGAAAGAGCTGAATAATTGTGACAGAGATATAAGCCCCTGAGATTCTAAAATATTTGTAAGGCCCTTTACAGAAAAATGTGCCGATCATTGTTCTTGATGATTAAGATTTCTGAAATACTTTTCTAAAATGTGGAATTTCAGACATTAAATACTTAGCTCTGAAATCCTGTTACCTCCTGCTCTGCTGAAGTTTTCTTTTACTACCAGGAATTTGAAGGAATAGAACGTATCTTTTTAGTCTTAGCTTTTAGTTAAAATTCTTAAAACTCAGATTTAAAGGTAAAGTTCAATATCCACTACCCCAAAAACTGTGTCTTAGACAAAGCTGTGTCCTGAAGAATGAAAGTGCTAGAGTGTTGTGTTCTTTCTTGTGTGTTTGTGTTTCAATGATTAACGTTGACTGTTGCTTTTTGTTTGCTTTTTGAAGTCCTTGCCTGCATTAATTGAACAAGGAGATGGATTTTCCCAAGTATTAAAGATGCAGCCTATTATCCAGCTCCAGAGAATCCACCAAGAAGTCTTTTCCAGTTGTTACAGGAAGCCAGATGTTGAATCTGAGAGCTTTATAACACAAATAGAAACCACACCAACAGAGACTGCTACCAGGAAAACTAGTAACATGGTGCTGAAAAGAAAGCAAACTAAAGACTGCCCCCAGCGAAAATGGTATCCATTGCGGCCAAAGAGGATTAATCTTAACACATAAGCTGTTTCTGTTTACCTAGGAGTTGAAATTAGGCACTATCAACATTTAGTTTAAAGTCTGATGCCTAGACAGGACTTCATTAAAAAGCAAGGAAGTAACTCTTTAGTGATTTCTTTATACAAACATGGTTGTGGTTGCTCTGTTCAGGGGTATGATGTAATATCATATCTCTTCAACATTTTATCTATAGTGGATGAAAAGCATGGTTTTAAAGTACTGGCACGAAGCCCATCAGTGGGTATGAACAGTGCAATCTCCTACTGCCCTTAAATGCCATCGATGCGTGGCTGCTTTACAGCTCGTACGGAATTTCACGCGTGACACGTGCCGTCGGGTTTCGGATGCATTGCTTTCTTAAAAAGGAGCTGTGTAACAGTTGTCCTCCTGCGAGTGCTGAACGGATCGCCGGTTCTGCTGGGAGCACGTGCGGGATATTTTTTTGTCTGTCTGTTTTCAATGCAATTTGTTTTATCAAATTAATGTACAAATGACAAGACTGGCTTTCACTTTGTCACCCCAGTTCAGCTAATTCAGATCTGTGGGATCAGTTTTAGGGTTTTGTTTTTGTTTCGCTCTAAGATAAGACAACTATTATTTGTGCAAGACTTTCTCTCAAATAAAAATTGGCGTGTAGCCATATTTTTTGTCCACACTTTGGTTTTCCATAGGCCTTTTAACTTTTAAACATAATTTGACTTGGGAAAAACAGGGTTTTTTTTTTAAAAAATGGATTTCTCATTATTTTTTCGTACATGATTCTAGTTGAGAAATACATCAGAATAATACGTTAACCAATTGTCCTGTGGAACAAATGTAGATGCAATCATACTGAGCCGTTTCATGTTTAAGGATGTGTGTATATCAAGGATATAATCATTGGTAGAAGTCTGCAGGAGCTGTGGTGCCCATGCTTCTAACATTCGACAGTTTCTTAAAGCTCTCAATGTGTCTCTTACTCACATTGATGTAATGTAGCCAGAGCCACCTAACTTGTCAGCTTCCCTCTTTGATGACTATGCCCTCATTCGTTTGCAAAAGAATATACTATAATCATGAGGTTGGAAAAGCTGTACTTCTTGTGTTCATTATGTCTTAATAATCATAAATGTCAAAATGTAACAGAAAGCCTATCTCAGTGAGGAAAACTTACATAGCTTCTTTATTGCATTCTGTATTTTGACATTACAATATGAGATCTGTATATCTGTGTAAAGTAGTTTGTTTTTTATTAAAATAACATGCATTGACTGAAGTCTCAATACCGTGTCTTTTTAAGACTTGTCTTGGGCATCCTTGAGCTCAGCTTTAGTTGGATGGTGTCGGCACCTTGCATTCCAGAACGTACTAAGTTTCATTTTAAAATTGTTTTGAGACTAAAGAATTTTTGCTATTCTAAGACTACTACAGAATTTTGCTTTTTCATAGTATAAAATTCTGTATGAGTCATTTCATTCCAAAAGCCTGCAAACAAGAGAATTATTAATTCTTCTAGACTGGACAACTGCATTGTGATTATAAAAGAAAGTGTTTCCCTTTTTAAAGTGATACATATTGAGATATGTGTTGTTTAATGGACTTGATGTTTTGGATTTTCTCTGAAATATGTCAGCAAAGAAAAAAAGAGGAAAAGGAATAGCTTAAGCAAATGTGGCAAAAATCTCGATAATGTTGGATCTGTGTGTTGCGTATATTCTTTCCAGTCTTGTGTTTATTTGGAAATTTTTGTAGTAAAAAAAAAAAGTTTAAAAAACCCTTTTTTTTTTTTTTAAGTTTGTTTTATTTTCAAACCCCCAGGCAGACCTGAAACTCAAACCCCCTTGGAAAGCTCATGTTTCACTCCCCAGTGAAACCCCAGGCTGTCGAGCGAAGTGCCACTGGGAAAACCGTGCATTAGCGTATTAACTAAGGTAAACGTCAGTGCTGTTGGTGACAGCGTTGGTCACATATATTTCTAGGAAGATAAATTGAATCTCTGCATAGGCCAAGAACTAGCTAGCTAAGCTGATGAAAAGTAAGAAAGCCTATAGTTGTAGGAAATGTTGAAGGAAAAAGTAGAAAATTAAATGTTGAGTTTCCTATGGTAAAAAGAAGGCTGGATTAGATAGAACCTTAAAATCTTATTTTGTCAAAAACCAAAACAAATAAACAACATAAGTTCAAATCCAGCCAGAGGGGGAGAGATCACTGTTGAAGCCGCTGGTTTCTGAAATCAGTGAAGGAAAATCTGTGTTTTCCAAACTTCAGCCATTAGAAATTGTATTAGTCTGCTTGAGCTGCTATAACAGAAACCACAGCCTGGGTGGCTAAAGCAACACAAGTTTAATTTCTTACAATTCTATAGGCTGGAAGTCCATTATCAAGGTCCCGGTGAATTTGGTTTCTGGTAAGGTCTCTCTTCCTTGTTGGTTGGTGCTGGTGTCTCTTCTTACACAGACATTAACTGTATTGGATCAGGGACTCATCCGTGTGACCACATTTAACTTTAATTCCTTAGGGGCCCCATCTTCAAATATGGCCGCACTGGGGATTAGGGTCTGAACACAGGGATTTTGAGGGGACGTTCAGTTCATAACACTAGACAACAGAAATCTTGATCCAAGACCTCTTCCCTGGGTCTTCATGGCTTGGGCTGAAGAGAGAAAAAAGTTAAAATCAATTTTTTATTTGCTTTAAAATGCAGCTCTCTCTATGACTGAGTTTGACCTCTGTGGAAGGCCTTGGTTTTCCCCTTCATTTATTCATTAATTCAAGAAGTACATGGTAGGCACCTCTTCAGTTCAAAAGTCAGAGATGTCGAAAGGCATCTCTGAGCCAGATCATCCGAGTTCAGATATTTGCTCTGCTATTCTTAAATAGCCTTGGACAACATGGCAGGGGGACGGGGTGGGGCGGGGGGCAGTACCTACTGCAGGGTTATTATGAGAAGTCAGTAAGTTCATAGTTCAGCCTTTAGACTAGTACTTGGCACTCTGTTTATCGTGGGTGTGATACAAAGCACTGTTGACTGGTTTGACGAAGGAAATGAAAACACTCATGGTAAGCGTTGTCTAGAAGGAACTCGTGTTCTAGTGAGGGGAGTGCACACGTGAGCAGCGGTCACACTGCAGCCAGTGCCTTTTGGATGTTTGTGTGGGGACCTCGGGGAGAAGTCACAGACGTTCGTGGGGGAGGTGGCATCTGAGCAGTCTTGAACACATGAGGCAAGTGATTAGGGAGGAAGACTCCTGCCTGTAAAGAGAATGGCAAAGCAGGCGGTTGTGAGAGAGCGTGTGTCCTGGAGGACCACCGGGGTGTCGATGCATGGATCTCGTCCGAAAGGCTGGGTACAGGTGACCCCGAAGAGCTGGGCAGCTCAGCTCTTGAGAACTTTGCACTTAGAAGTGCTGATGAGGAGCTGGGAGCTTCAACAAAGGAGGGGAAAGGAAGTGGAAGGCCATTGAATTCATCTTCAGACGAGAACTAGGACATGTTTATACAGCAAACGTACATGAATGTCTGTAGCAGCGACCTCAATGTCAGCTAAGGAGTGGATGAATGCAATGTGATACATTCAACCAGGGGGTTATTAGTTGTAAATAAGTGCAGCACATCCCGGCCGGGTGGCTCAGTTGGAGTGGCCGTTCACCAAAAGTTTGCAGGTTTGATTGGCGGTCAGGGTCTGGGCACATTCCTACGTTGCAGGTTTGATCCCCAGTTGAGGCGTGTGCAGGAGGCAGTAATCGATGTTTCTCTCCCTCCCTCAAATCAATAATGAAAAGTACCCTTGGGTAAGAATTTTTTAAAAAGTATTGCTCATGTTACATTGTGGATGAAACTTGAGAACACGCCAAGTGACAGAAGTCACTCACAGAAGACTGTAGTCATTGTATGACTCCACTTATATGAAGCGTCCAGAACAGGCAAATCTGTGGAAACAGAAAACAGGTTGGCGGTTGCCTAGGGTTGGAAGGGGGAGAAGACGAGAGGAACAGGGAGTGACTGCTAATGGGTGTGGTTTTCCCTCAGGTGGTGGAAATGCTCTAAAATCGATGGTGGCGATGGTTGCTGGGTGAACATACTAAAAATGCTTTAAATGGGCGAATTACATCCTATGTGAAGTATGTCCATTTAAAAAGAGAGGAAATAAATAGAAATAATACAAGAAACTCCCAGATACCAAGACTCCAGATGGGAAAAAACCTACTGAGTATTCAGCAAAAGACAGCAAAACACAATTGCCCCTACTGGGGCATATCACAGAAATGTTAAAGAGAAATTCCTAAAGCTTCCACCAGGGGAAAAAGGTCATAAAGCAAGGGGAACTGAATGACTTCAAACTACTCAAAAACAGCCCTGAATCTAGAAGTCTCTGGAGCAACACAGTCAGGAAATTCTCATTATAAATGATTTGCAACCCAGTATTCTGTTCCCAGCCAGCCAAGCACGAGGTTAGCCAGAAGTCACTCTCAGACATGCCAAATCTGAGAAAGAGAAAGCATTACCTTTAAAAGCATCCTGTTTGAGGGTGCTAGAGGACGTGCTCTGCCAGAAAGGGTAAACCAAAAAAGCAGCCACAGGACCTAGAAAAAGAGGCTTCAAGAGAGCAGCAAACGCAAGTTCACAGCATGTAACGCAGCAGATCTGGAGAACAGTTCGGGCACACCAGGTCAGAAAATGAACACAGGTCTCCAAAAAAGGTATTTTCAGGAGAAGAAAATATAACCGACAACATGAGTGATAGTTTTAACTACATGGAAAGTTATATAAAGGAGAGATACAGTATTCAGGTGTTAAATTAAAAAATCAGGTATTCATTCATTGCAGAAAGCTGTAGAGGGAAAATGTAATCAGCATTACAGATTGGCTCTGCAGTGAACAGTATTTCCATAGATGTAACAACGAACGCCTCATATATGAATTGGGGAACAAAAATTTGGGACCATTGGGAAGGCAAGAGGATTGGAAATTAACAGTACGGCCCAGGCAGCGGGCAGTCGGAAGGGATTAGTGGTCAGAGCACTGGAGCAGGGTTCTGGAGGGCCCCCTCAGCCGCCGGGTCCGGAGGAAGTCCGAGGTGCCCAGGACAGGAACTGGAGCAGACAGTTTGGGCTGGATGGGGCATGAGGAGGCTTCTGTGCCGACCAGTACAGAACTGCATTTTGCTGTATGAAAGCAACCCATACGGTTGTAATGTGTGACCATCTGAACATCAGTGGTGAAGTGGGAGTGTTGGGGAGCGGCATCTTCATCACAATGGAAAGTCAGTGCATAATCTCTAAAAGAGCTGAATCCAGAGATGGCACAATGTGGATATTATTCTGATTAGAAAAAAACAGCTAAGAGGGTAGAAAGTAGTGAACTTTGCTGATGAACCTAGGCAGGGACGTAGGCCAAGGGGCTACTGATTTTGTTGTTGTGGTTATGAGCCTTATAGATTTGATCCTTTTAATTATGTGCATCAAATTCTTGCATTAAAATAAATTAGATCTTTAAGTGATTTAAAAACTATAACATGAATGCAAGTGACTGAATTTTCTTTGACACTATCTTTGTATCAGCGAGAATTAAGGAGTAACATGCCAGAGGCTCTCAAAGGGTGTCAGTACTGTTACCTTAGCTTATTTCAGATAAGCCCTAGTGCTTTATCTGAACATCTCTGTTTATAGCCGAGAGGTTTAGTTGGGGTTTCTTTGGAGTTCTTTTTTTTTTCTTCCCCTAAGCATTTGTTTTGCAGATAGATTCTATTATCAAGCCTCCGTGTGTAAAATGAAGAAAAAAAGGTCTTCCTGGAGAACCACTGAAGGGTTCGTGGGGGTTTATCTGTGACAGGATTTGGGAAAATTGGTATTATATTTATTTGGAGCTTCAGGGCTGAAGAGTCCTCTCAAATTCATCAGTGTCTCTACATTGCCTGCACCCTGTGGGCCGTTTACTAATAACAGTCGAATGAATGATTTTATATTGCAGATTTCTAACTCATCGTTCCCCTAGGTCACAGTCTCAGGCATTACTGACTCGTTGCTTTCATATTCATTATGAATTCAGGGTAGAAGATGGGCGTACTCCTGCAGGGGTGGGGTGGCATGGGGATTTAGAGGCCTGAGGGCAAGTCCCTAAGAAACTGCCTGAGCTAGAACTCTCGTTTTCTGTCTGCCAGAGTGGAAGTGTGGCCTCCAGATCCCTGCATGGCCAGAGAAGAAGAGCATGGCATTCACACCCCTCGGCCTGACCCTGGTACCAGAGATGCATTTGCCCTCTGGCCCTCTTTC